TAAAATACTCAGTTAACAAGAATGATTAGAAGAACTTGAAAATAACAAAGAATTTTCCTCCAGTTACACTAGAAATACTAGACTCATAAATCAAATGGTATTTTTTCATCTGTTGAAATTTTTGAAACTTACATAAATTCCTACTGGTGGCATTAAAAAAAAAATAATGGAAATACCTCCTTTAACTGTAGTACTTATAGTACTAATTCTTTGTGGGTAACAACGTGTTTCACTATTTTTGTATCTTGAGTTACACTTCAGTTATGTGATATATCGGTAGTCATGAAAACAGCTAACAACAGCATGCCCAATGGTAGGGTAGCGAAGAGGCTGTGCTGCTCTGTAACTGTGTCTGAACTTCTTTTCTCATTTAGAAACTCATTGTTTCTCAGATTTAAACATTCAAAATGTCATAAACTATCCGAGTGCTTTCTGGTCTTCTGCATGCAGTCAGGTAATTATAATATTAATAATTTATGCATGTGAGGAAAAATTTTAGTTAAATTTCCTTGTCAGGCTAGACAACATAAGTAGTTTTAAATATATTTGAAACTTTAACTTTCTGTGTCTAGCAACTAATTACAGAGAGTAATGCATAAATATTGTTAGACATACCTGCATCAGCAGTCAAAAACTGAGGATCTGTATCACCAGTCGGAGCAAGAAGAGTCAACATCTGCATTAAATAACGATTTTGTGTTTCAAAACATTACTAAAACAAATGTCTGCATAATTTCAGCTTGCTACTGTCATGAATGTACATTTTACCTAACAAAGTGCATGTTAATGCAAAGTTGTTTTGTTTTCAGAGTGATTATGTTGCATTACCATTAATTCATGTGTGCACTGTGACAAGATGTAATGGCATATCATGTTGCTTTAATGTAATGAATCCAGTACTCCCAGCTCTTAAGTCGTGTTGCTGGAAATGATTACATAAACCAGAAATGACTGTGACTAAAACCCTTGCAAAGCTTTAGAACTCCTGCACATTATAAGAAGCTTTTTGGGGGGTTTAAAGTAACTTCTTAAAAATTTACTGAAAGCTTTCCTTGGTAATATTTTTACTCTTTTCTGACTGTTTTTTGCATTCCACTGAAATTTGCATTATCTTTTAAGCATTGCAAGGGTTGTGCTGTAATTTTGTGCAGATGTGTATGTTAAATGAACATGATGTGCTTATTTGTTACATTTGTGCTACTTTTCTTTCTTTATCTGGGTAAGATGGATGAAATTATGTATTAAATAAAAACATCAGTGATTTAGCCATGACCATTCTCTACAGGTCCTGTAAGACTGCAAGGATTGCTTTTAAAAGGAAGGTAGTTGCAGAGGTATCCGAGTATCCTCTAAATCTCAAAACTGTAAACCTCAAAGTCTCTAAAAGAGCTTAATTTTGCTCTGTTCTGACTCTCCTAAGACTCCAGCAGCTTTTGTCTGAGTTGATGTGCCTCGAACAGAAAGCATGCCGTTCACTCAGGCACTCAACGTTTGAGGAAATCAGGGCAATGTATCTTATAAAAATGACCTCACTTCAGAAGAAAATACCTTATCTTTCCCATTTTCACTTCTTTTAACTTTTCTTGAAGTTTTATCTTTCTACTAGATAAGCATAGCACTTGAAGTACTGCAGCATGTTATTTAGTTCACACACAAGGAAAATACTTGAATTTTCACTTTTGCACAGATCATTCACGTTCTTATGTCACGCAGCTGGAACTGTCATTTACAAATTGGGTGAGATATTTCAATGACTGTAGTGAGATAGCTTAACATGACAAATAACAAAACATCTAAAGTAAGGGAAACTTCTTTCCCCTCACCCTGTAGCTATATCCTAGTCTTATTACTATATCCTTTTTTTCTGACCTTGAAATGACTCTTGAAGGAAGTTGTCAGTTGCTTTTTTAATAAGGAAACATTTAACTTTGTTCATAGCAATGACATTTAAAAATAGAAATGATCAATATAAATGTGCCACTGTTCAGTCAGAGATTTGTGCTTCATATTGATTTTTTTATTGTAAATGCCTTCAGGCTATGTTCATTTGAGTGAAAATGATACATTAAATATATAATTAGATTCAACAGTATCTTTAAAAACTACATCTGTAATCACTAAAAAATTGCTTTTATTTGGAAATACTTTAATACATAGGTTTTTACCAAAACCTAACCTAAAAAGGTGAGAATTTCCAAAGTAGAAATATACTGTTTCTGTTAAATTCTTTTGCATCTATGTGCATGCTGGTTCTTGTTACAGTGCTCTGTTCTGCCTATGATATACCTCATAATTCTGAAATATTCTTAACCAAATGCCTCATTTTCAGAACTTCAGTCATTCTGCTGAGGTCAGTAGGACTTCTCATGTACTTCAACTTGGGCACATGTTTAAGCAGGACCTTCGGGTGGAGCCAAGATTTTATTTTGAGCAGTAATGGTGTTATGTTATTTAAACAACTGTATCTGATAACACAGGACCCAAACCTACTGTCCTTGCCTAGATGAGAAATCCTTTTGAGTATCAGACAAATAGTTTCATTGGGATTTCCGGAGAGTGGGGAGACAGAGGAAGAAAGAGAGGGCAAAATAACTTTCATGAATAGTAATTGAGGGCTCAGGCACCTGGGTTGTGTCCTGTTTCAGGCTGGTTCTCTTTCCAGCAGCGTGCACATAGCACTGTGCATTCTGATCGCATTATCCACACATTTGACAGTTTTGTATGTAACAAGGGTTTTATACGTTGGTGACAAGTCCATGTGGTTGAAACCCACCCTGTTATCAATTTACAAAGTGAATGCACTTCTGCAAAATCCTAATGGTGAGAAAACGTTCCTCGGAGGTACTCCAGCTGATTTTCCATTTGAAGTGAAATAAAGCCAAGTACATGAGTGTCAGCAAACTTGTTTCTAGGGGCAGGCAGTAAAGCATACATTATTTAGAAGGTTGAGTCATGAGGCTGGTTGGGTTTGTCGTGTTACATCTGGCATGTCAGTCAAAGCCAGGGCACCTGCTGCCTGTCACTAGTGCTCTAGTGGAGCATTGTCCATCCATCAACATGAGCAGCAAGAGGCCCTCAGGAGTTCTGTGAAGAGCGCTTCACCTGGACCTACACCACTTTCAGTATTGTCATTACAACTGCTTTTGGTGCTCCTTTGATACCAACAGAACATGGTTTCATAGAAGGTCTGATATTTTTTGTATGTAGGTTCTTAATAGAGAAAATATTTGATTAGTCCTATTGTTGTTTATGGAAAAGAAAAATTTGTATTTAATGTTATAAACAATTTTGCATGTTTCTTTAGATTTACGTTGTTTCCAAACCACCTTAAACTACTTCACATATGTTTTAACATATGTCATCCTTTTGGTGAAATTAGTGGGTATTTTGGAGTGAAGCTTTGCCCTTGTGCTCAAAGATTAATTTTGTGATTTACTGCAAGTTGGGTGTAGCTTTAGTTATGTTCCTTCAATTTATATTTTCCCAATACAAAATTAAATTTCTTTTCTTTCAGTTTATATAACTTTTTACCACCTGAAATAATGTCAGTTGGGTTCCTCAGGTTAAAAAAAAAAAGGAAACAACAAAACAAAAAACCTCCACTGTGTCTCCTGATAAGAGCACAACATGTATTTTTCATGATGAAGAAAGGGGCTGGAAGGAGTTTTTGCTTTCTTACAGAGCTGGAATATCTCCCACCATTCACAAGTGCAGGGCATGAACCTGTTGGCCAGCACATCTTTTATGGCTTGTAGTTTACACCTGTTGTGAAGTAGGATAAAGACAGGAAGGTGGGATCTCCTTTAGGAATTTGGAAGGAGCACTTACTCATCTGGAGGACAGGGACAATAATTCCACCTGTCTGCTGTGGTGGTGAACACACAAAAAAAGCATGTGTGTCCCTCCAACAGTAAGAGACATGATAAAGCGGGGTAAAAGAGACTTTTCCATGCTGAGGTGCAGAGCAGGGCACCAGAACAGATAACTGAAGTGTCTAATGAGAAAATGACAAGTTGCTTTATTTATTACAATGTGGCTCAGTTTCTATGAGCCACATCCTTATTTTCATTGGTTTATATCCATTAAAGGCTTGTTTTGCATTTTTAAGTCCTTCAGTAAAATAAGGACCTTTATTCAGTGATAAATAAAGATTGTCTAAGGTGTCACTCCTGATAATAAGGAGTAGGGTCTGCATGTGAATTTTTGTCACCTATTCTCTGTGCTTCTCAGCATTTGTGCCAACAAATTTGTTGAACTGAAAACCTCAGTAAATGTGTTTTGACTTTATTTTTAAAAAAGAGATCATGGATCAATACGTAGTTATTTTGAAGTATTTCTTTTCAGCCTTTTTAGATGTCCAGATTTGTCGCAATCTGCAATATGTGTGTGTTTATGTACGTGGCAATAGGGTAGGGTAAGGGTGTTTGTGTTTTGTAACTACTTTGATGATTTCCTGATTTCTGAAAAACTACTTATTCTTAATACCAAAGTTCTTAGACAAGTATTTTATGTAAAGTTTTTCTTAAATTTGGTCATAATCTCTTCATATTAATTGCATATTTTAAATATTCATCAGTGTTTTACTTACCATTGATTTTAATTTGAATGAGAGTGACAAAATTGACACTATTATAGACTTCTCGCTTATTTCTGGGAAGCTTTCATGGCAAAAGACATCTTTCAGTCATAATCTGACATGATTTTCGCATGAGATGAACTCATTGGGCTGAGAAGTGATTTACATTTTGAAATTTTTGCTTCTAGTTTTGTAATCTATTCCAGGAGATACATGTATACTGATAGACTCTTAAGTTTCCATGTACACGTCTGATCAGTGATGAGTTGAGAGGATATCCACTTGGAAAACTGTTTGCTGTTCATATTTTAGTTTAGCAGAAGTTTTATTCACACATCAATGCAGAAGTAATTAAACCCCCTAAATATAGCAAAGGTTCAGTTCCCTCTAAATCTCTCTCTCTATCTTTGTCCAAACTTCCCAGGTTTTTATCGTTGATTGGAGGAAATGCAAATGACATAGGAAAATCAGATATGCAGCAAAAAGTAAACGCAGTAATTCAAAAGGAAGGTCTGGAAGGCACAGCCAAAAGGCTAAATACAACGGTGCACACACTGCAGCTGATCATTGATGGTCTGACTCAGCCTGAAGGCTTTGACATCCGAACAGGTAAACCTTTGTTTTGAAGGCTGTAATCTCAGATTGAATGTTCTACATATCAGTTTTAAAACAGCACATTTTCTTATTCTAAAGTCAGTAGCAGATTTTCCTGGACTTATAACTCCATTTCTCTTCTCAGGCAAGGTAAAGGCTGTATCATAGTCAGATGTTTCTTTCCAGCTTGGTAGGTAAGGAGTGTGAATCCTGTCTTAAATCATGGCATTTTCAGCCATAGGAAGGGGAGTTGTATGGCTGTTAACAAATGAAATAGTTTCAATATGTTGACTCTATACTGATTAAATCTGTGTTGGCTCTCCATCATGGAGGGGAATGCTGAGACCAAGCTGAAACAGTAGTAATAAGGGTATGTGGAGCAGTAGTGTGTAGCCCTGCTCTTTTATTGCACTAGTTCCTGGAGACAAGTGTAATTGGAGCACATGGCTCATGTTAAAATTTTGCAGTAGTGCTGAATAGTTTGAGGTGGAGGGGAAGAAAGATGAGGTAAGCAATGAAGTAGAACATCTGGAGATGCTGTTGTTTAGTGAAATTTAAAGCTGGATTCTCTTATGACAGCAAGGTAGGCAGCAAAGATGCAGGCTTATAATAAATAATAAACTTATGCTTAAAAAAATTAAAACTTCTGTCTCCCTTTTTGGGGTTCGTAAGTACTTTACTTGCAGATTTTATAAATGTTTCCCACTAGTGATCTTAGAAATGTTTGGGGTCTTTTTTATGCCTGCATTTTTTCTGGTGGTCTCACATCTAAATTACAGTACAATACACTATTAACATATGAAGATATAAAAGCAAAAATATTTTCAGTGGAAATACTCATGTTCTGTTGATCCAGTATATTCCATATTGCTGTAGACAAACTCTGTGACTAGAGTCACTAGAATAGCCTTGGATAGCTGCAATTCATTGTCTTTGTAACCCTTTTAGTGACCATAAGTGAGGAAATGGGTCACGGTTAACAGGGCTCAGGCAGATTGAATAGTTTGTACTCTGCCCTGATTCACAAAATAATCTTGGTTTAAGATTCAATTCACTTGTTGTTCCCAACAGTAGAGATGTGGCATTAGGGAACTGCAGACAGAGAGTAGCATCCCTATGTATCCTCTTAAATTTAATTTCATTAAATTTAAAATTCTATGTTGTTTAATTTTCCTGAATGGCTTTAATACAAAAGAAAATGAAAAAAATAAATGTGGGGAAAGGGAAAGAATAGAATATTTTTATCAGTAATTGTAAAAATCTTTTTCTAGCCAAGGTCTTGCAAGACATTCCTTGTAAGAAATTCTTTCTAACATTAAAGTGGAACAGCTAATCTGGTAACCATAATGAACCTGCTAGGATGGGGGTGAGGGTGGGAAAAGAGGTTTGCAAACATTTAAAAAGATTCCCATAATTTCTCTGAACCTTCTTGTGCTCATTGCCCTGGATGGCTGTTTAGTTGCTTTTTTTCACTGAAGTGCCACTGCAGCGTATAAAGTTACAAAAAGATTAACCATTTTGGACTTGAGCAATTAGGTACATTCCTGCTATAG